GCTATGGATTTCTCACATGTCTTTTGTCATTTATTAGAATCTGAGAGGTCCCTCTTGGGCCATTCAGCACACTCAACGTCAGCTTCCTACTCAGAGGAAACCTTCCACTCATCCATCCCTTCAGGTCCTAGACTGAGTTGAGCACAATCCCCAGATTGACTGGAGCATATCCTTGCCTAAATTATCCTTCCTCTGGTTCATTGTTTTCAGGTTTTATGCTGTTTAGACAATGGCATTACTTGTTTCCCACTTTTGCTGCTCTATGTCATTCGTTTTATGCGACTTTCTGCTTTTGCAGTTCCATGTGGTTCAGCCATAGCAGCTCCCCTTTTGCAATGTACGCTAAAGTCTGCCATTGAGTCATAAGCAGACCATTGTTTGATGCATGCTCGGGATTGGAGATGAACCAGGGAAGCAGTGTGCCCTGCTCTCAATCTAAGTTCCTCTCCAGCCCAGAAGGATGGATGGAAGATTAGGTAACTAATAGAAGTCAGAAGTAATGGGAAGGGCAAATTTACTGTTGGCCTTGATTTCAAAGGGAATGGAGGATAAAAATAGGGAAGTTTGGTAAAACTATTCCAGGTACAAGTCAAATCACAACAGTTTTGGTCCCCTTATCTAAAGAAAGGTATATTGGCATTCAAAGCAGTCCAGGAAAAGTTCACTAAGCTGATCCAGGGTATGGAGGGATTTTTTTATGCGGAGAGATGGAGTAAATTGGGCATGTACTCATTAGATTATATAATAATGAGAGGAGACCTATTGAAACTTACAGCGTTGACAGAGTAGATGCAGAGAGTTGGTTTCCCTTATGGCATAATCTCATAGTAAGTGCTGTCCATTTAAGACAAACATGAAGTAAAATTATTTTCTCTCAGAGAGTGGTGAATCTGTAGAATTCTTTTCCGATGAGGGCTGTCAAGGCTGGGTTGTTAAGTATATTCAAGCCTGAGATAAACAGATTTCTAATAGTAACAGAATCAAGGTTTACTTGGCTAAGACGGGAAAACGATATTGAGGTATCAGATCATTCATGAATTCATTGAATGGTGGAACAGACTCAATGAGCTGAATGGCCTACTTCTGTACCTACATTTTAAAGTCAAATAGCTTATAGGTGTATCTCAAAGCTATTGAGAAAGAGATAATTTAAACTTGTGGATTGGCTAAAAATTGGTAAAGCTAAGTCATTAGAAAAGATGGCTACACTTAAAGTTGATAAGTCACTACAACTGAATCAGATCCATCTGAGGATACTTAGGTAAGTAAGGATGGAAGCTGCAAAGGCTCTGATCATAATCATCCAATCAGACATTTTTACATTCAGAGATGGTGCCAGAGGATTGAAAGTTTGCAAATGCTACACCTTTATTCAAAAACGTAAAGGAGAAGCCTAATAATACAGACCAGCCAGTTTAACCTCAACAGTGGAAATGCTTTAAAGGCAATAATCCAAGATAAAATTGACAGTAACTCAGACCAATGTGGAATAATTAAGGAAAGTCAGCACAGATTTGTTAGAAGCAATTCATGTGTAACTAAGTTGATTAATTTTTGATCAGCTAAGAGAGAGGGTTGATGATGGTAATGTGATTGATGTGACATGGATGACCTTGTTAGATATTAGATAAAGTGTCACATTATAGGCTTATCAGTATAGTTAAAACCCATTAAATGAAAGGGACAGCAACTGCATGGATACAAATTTGGCTGAATAACAGGAAACATAGAAGTGAAAGGTAGTTTTCAAATTGGAAATGGTATGTAGTACAATTCCTTGATGTCACTGTTAGATCCATGGATTTTCTTGATGCACATTAATGATTTTGATTTGGGTAGCACAATTAAAAGAATTTCCAGATAACTCAAAACTTGGAGATAGTTGTAGTGTGATGATGATTCTAATAAGTAGACAACCTGGTGAAATGGTAGAAACATAAATGAAATTTAATTCTATTATGTGTAAAGTGATACATTTTGGTTGGAAGAATGATGAGGCAAAATAGTCCAAAATAGTAGAATTCTAAAGGAAGTCATGGCAGTGGGATATAGGAATATGTGTTAACAAATCATAGATGGGAAGGATGCAGATTGAGTACATATTTAATAAGACACATTGAGTCTTGGATTTATAAATAGGGGTGAGTACAAAAGCAAGTCAAGGTGAATCTTTAAATGCTGCTTTGGCCTCAATTGAAGTAATGTATCTAATTCCCAGCACCATACCTTGTGAGGATGTAGAGGGCATTAAAGAGGATACAGAACTTGTATGATACTGGTTTCAGGGATGAGGGTCTTCAATTACAATCAATAGATTGGAAGATCTTAGGAAAGAGGTCAGGGAGAGATTTCAAAAAGGTATTTTAAATCATGCAGGATTGGGACAGAGTAGATAAGGGAGAAACTGAGTCCGTTGGCAGAAGGGTCAAAAACCAGGACACAGTCAAAGGTGAATAGTTAAACAATCAAGGCAACATGAGGGAAATCTTTTATGCTGTGAGTGGCTAGAAACTGGAATGTAAAATTTAGTGAGGGTAGATTCAATCATGATTTTCAAAGACAACTAATTACTGGAATAGAAAAATGCAGGCCTACACAGATAAGGTGAGCAGTGCTTCTCCTACAGAGAATCAGTACAGTCAAATAGGCTGAATGTCCTCCTTCTTTGCTGTAACCATTCTATGTCAGTATCCTCTTTAAGTAGCTCTTTAAAGACAGGGGCTGTCCTTCAAAGATGGTAGCATCACGGTATGGTCAGTGGACATTGCCCGCTCCTCAGCTCTAAACCACCCCCTCCAAACATATAGATAGAGCCCCCCTTGTCCTCACTTTCCACCCCACCAGCCTCTGCATCCAACATATCATCCTCAAACACTCATCAACTCCAATTAGACCCCACCACCCAGATAATCTTCCACTCCCCACCCCTCTCTGCCTTCAGTAAGGATGATTCCCTTCACCACTCCTTAGTTCATGCCACACTCCCTGCCAACCACACCCCCAGAACCTTCCCCTGAAACCGTAAATGATGCAACACCTGCCCGCCACACGATCTTCCTCACCTCCATTTAGGGCCCTAAACAGTCCTGCCACATGAGACAGAGCTTCACCCGCATCTCCTCCAACCTAGTCCACTGCATCTGGTGCTCCCGATGTGGTCTTCTTTACATCAGAGAGACCAAATATAGACTAGGTGATCATTTTGTTGAGCATCTTCACCTAGCCTGAAGTGGCCAGCCTAACCTCCCAGTCACCACTCATTTCAACTCCCTCTCCGACACGTCCATTCACGGCCTCTTCCAGTGTCGCAGTGAATCAGATTGCAAATTTGAGGAACACCTTATCTTCCACCTGGGCACCCGACAGCCGGGAGGACTTAACATTGTGGTCTCTGATTTCAAATAACCTCCCCTCCCATCCCTGCCTCCTCCCTTCCATTCCAGTTACCAACCAGATTCATCCTTCCTGTTGACCAACCAGGTCATGCCTACTACCAGCATCCACCTATCACCACCATTCTGCTACCCTATCCCTACATCCAGTTCTGAAGAAGGGTAATACCCAAAAACGTTGACTTCGCCTCCTCCAGATGCTGCCTGGCCTGCTGTATTTTTCCAGCCTCCTGTTTGTCTACCTTAATACACTGCTATTAGACTTGAATCCAACCATACAGAATTTTAAAATTCTATTAACAAAATTGGGTATAATTATTGTGTGCAATGGCAACCACATTATATTGATATTGGTTGCATTTAACTGTTTTATAACTGCCCTAAAGAGAAAAAAAAATTGCCATCATTAGCTCATCTGACCCACAGGATGCCAACTCTCAGCAATGTGATTGACTGAGCCACTCTAACAAACCTGTCACTTTATGGCTATTTAGGAGTGGTTAGATAAATAATGGCAGCACCAGTAATACCAAAATTAATTTCACAATCTCAGGATGGCTCAAGCATTTTTGAAGTGATATTGCGTGGAGGAAACAGACACCCATTTAAACAATAAAAGTGCCTTACAGATATTGGGCAAGGTCACCATTACTTCCCTCTGAAAAATTCCTGGGACTTAATTACAACAGAAGGTTCTTGGGCGACGCCTCACGCAAGCAGCACACTCCCATATCATTGCGAAGTGACAAATCTAGACTTGGTGTCGTCATAGAACGCCTAGAGTGGAACCAGGCCCTTTGGCCCAACAAGTCCACACCGACTATCAGAACATCCCACCCAGATCCATCCCTCTATAACCCACCTAAATCTACACACATTCCTGGGCACTATGGGCGATTACACACACGATGGTGGAATCAAACCCGGGTTCCTGATGCCGTGAGACAGCAGTGCTAGCCACTGAGCTCGCCCCCGTTTTTTTGTGGTTCGGTTAATTAGCTTTTTGGAAACAAAGGTTACTTCTATCCCCACGTGAATCCAGCCCCAATGCCACTGAAACCTGTATATTGACTGGGGCCGGTTTCTGAGACCCTTTCTTTGTCACGAGAAGTTTGTCCTTCGTTTGGTAGTAAAAGGCGAGAGAAAATGGCAAACTACCCGACACTTCCTGCAACGTAGCGAAGCGATTCTGTTTTGCGTGCAGTCTGGAGGCGTGAATGCTCAGGTGACATAGCCTCCATTAGAGGTTCACTCATTTCCGTTGTACGGGAATTAGCGGATCAGTGAGGGAGCAGCAAGTATTAATGACGATGGGATCACATCCAGCCTTGCAAAAGGGCTAGAGCTACAAAAAGAAACGCAACTAAACTCCTGCTGGAGCCTCCTTGCACCATGAGCTTTAACATTCGCCCTAGTCCCGCAGCAACACTCCCCAGTAAGCAAACCTATACAAGTTTGACTGCTAGCTCCAATGCCTAGACAGGAATTTCTCAATAATCATAACATTTACCTTGAGTCGTCACGGGCAACGGTTAGGCAAATGAAGTTCTAAATTAGATTTTAGCCCTAGCGCTGCTGAACGAACATCAATTGCAGGCGGACACGTCGTTTAAGAGATACACAATCTTATTTATTTCAAAAAAAAAAAACAACGTATTAAATATCGAATGTGCTGTAAGCCATTCGAGCGCGGAAATGCAAATATCACATTAATGCGAGCTTTTACAAAAAAAAAATGAAGCGATATAAAAAAGTCAACTTTAGATTAATGAAATCAGTTAACAAAATAGCGGCAAAATTCTATCGCTGCATATTACTATCCGATTCTCGAGTTAAATTCGCAAGTCATTCACATCATTTCTACCTGAAGAGATTACGTCCTTCTCACACGAAATACCGAATCCACTGCAAGACTAGCCCCACAAACACCCCCCCCCCCCCCACCCCACGTTTAAAAAAAATTTGGACATTATCTAAATATCAATGTCTTTAACTTCTACGCCAAACTACTTTAAATTCGTTAGCTTTCCTTATGGATGGTACGTTGAACCCGCACGATAGTTAGGTAGCAGTGCGTGCTCGAAAGAACTCATAGTCCAAATAAAACACGCCTGAAAACTAAAAATAGTCATTTTTTCAAAGTAATGTTGACCAGACGACTTCACCCGTTCCGTCTACACGTAGTTCTTGCTCGGAGCTGTAGATCTAGCCGCAGAATACTTTGCCGAGTAAGAGTTGTCGTCTTTGGGAGGACAAGAGCAGCAGAGCAGAGCCCCTCCGAGGATCAACAGACCCGAGGTTCCCCAACCGATGTACAAGGAAGCTCCAAGCTCCCTCCTCTGGGCGTCCGTCACCAGCGGGTTGTAGAAGTCCTTAATGATGGTGTTTGCAGACCAGGACACTGGGATCAGGGTCAGCACTCCAGCCAGGATGAAGACGATTCCAGATACAATGGTGACTTTGGCCTTTGTTACCTCGTTTTCAATGCAGTTGGTGCATTTTCCTCCCACGATGGAAATCAGAATGCCCAGGACTCCCACCACAATGGCAATGACGGTCAGAGCTCTGGAAGCCTGGAGATCTTGCGAGAGGGCCAACAATGAGTCGTACACCTTACACTGCATCTGGCCGGTGCTCTGAACTATACAGTTCATCCAAAGACCTTC